GTCCAGATTCAGCCGCTGCTGAAACTGATCAGTTTCAACAGCCGCTGAATCTGGACGCCAGTTCTGACTTACATACAGATTCAACTTAAGAACAAACCTACAGTCCCTATCTTGTACGTAACCCGGGGACTGCCTGTAGTTACCATTAACATCCCCTTCTTTCCATTTGCTCTACAAATTCTTTTGTAGAGTGGTCTTCACTTCCCCTCTAAACTAAGACATTTTCTAAAACCAGTATGACCTTCTTCCATTGAGGTATTGTAGATTTTGGGGCACTTGATAAGGTGTTCTCAAAATGCTTCACAGTAGTTTCACTTACATTTTCTGATTACATTTCTTCTCCCAGATGAGTTGGCTCAATTATTTTCAACTTTGTGAAACTGGTCCTATTATAAGAATCAAGTGTGTGCACGCATGCACTTTGTGTATTATATTAGAGTCTCTCTCTCTCCCTCCTCTCCCCTCCCAGGGAATTACAGACCTGTCAGCCTAACCTTGATGCTTGGAAAGATACTAGAAAAAAAAAAAAGCAAACGAGGTCTACATGAAATCATAAAGTGGGTACAGAACTAGTTGAAAAAAAAAGTTCTCAAAATTTAATCATTTGTCGAATTGGGTGGACACATCTAGTTGGGTACCACAGGGATATGTTCTAACCCAGTATTGTTCAATATTTTCATTAATGACTTGGATACTGGAATGAAAAGTATGTTCATGAAGTTTATTGGTGGCATCAAAATGGGAAAACTTGCAAGCACTTTCTGAAACAGGATTAGAATTCAACAGGATTGAAGAATTGGTCTGCAAGCAATAAAATAAAATTCAGTATAGACAGTGCAGTGCAAAGTACTATGATTAGGAAGGAAAAAAATCAAATGGACATAGCTGAATCTGAGACTTAGCTTTCCTTATTGTTTGGGAAAGGAAATTCACCTCTGACAGAAGGATCTATATAACCTGTCAACTCCTAGTGGTCAACATTCACCACAGATACTGGTACCCAAATGTTGGGAAGCCACCCTTGGTGGACCCAAATCTAGTCTAAGAAACAAGATAGATAGCATATGAACAGATTTTAAGAACTGCTTTGGCTCTACTCTCTGGTTGTCATATATGCATTGCTTGTTCATGAGAAACTAGTCAGTAGTTGTTCATATAAACAAATGGGCTAATGGGATGACTTCAAAACAGGAAACAGCACAAAAGTAAGGACTCTCCTGCACTGAGAATACTTTCCCCTAACAAA